CATTCATTTGAGGAAATCAAACAAAATAAGAAGTGTCTATTATTTGATAAAGGAAATTACTTTCTTAGATTTTTAAAAGTGCCCCCCCCTCCATAGGGCATGTTTTAGACAAACCAGCATGGTGACATTTCTATTTCTATAATATTTGTTTTACTTGTATAGTGTGCAGACACTCTTTGGGTGTTTTAAAGTTGAATTTGATAACAATGATAGTGAGTGATAGTGATCATGGTCAAAATGTACATGTATTTCACTTTAAACCACAACCAGATTAAGGCTACATTAAAACATTCCCTGACATTTGTATGCTGCAATAATCCCTCCAATGCTATTTGGGATCATTTGTCTACACACGAGTAGAGAAGATCCTGCTGAAAAACTGTGGTCTCAGGCCCATCTCTGGATTCTGTCTAACAAAGAGTCATAAAGGGTTGTAACTGACAGAGTGAACATCAGTTTTTTCTCATCTGCATAAATGAATCAATCAATCAATCAATGTCGAAACCTACTTCTCACATCTTTCTTCACCAACAGGAAACCTTTTATATGCCTCTGGGTTTTAAATGCCACACTCCTACAGTCAAGTCACATTTTATTGCGTCATGTCTGTATATTTAGACATGACTGTATCATAGCATGTCTTTGTAGATAGCAGTTCTTGAGTGGCCACTGAGCAAGCTCTTGGCATAATGAATATTTGTGCCCCAACCGCTCCTCCTATTTCATAACACAGCTTTTCTTCACACACTTAGTGAGGTGGTGGGCAGTATGCCACAGGGTGATATAGGCACTTCAGATCAAATGTAAACTTTATCATGGATATCTAATTTCATACTTATTCCTGGTAATCCGATGGGCTACAAAGTATTATCTTAATTAACTTTTGATGCAACTGCCTCTCCATCATCAAACTCCCACTGGGCCTCCTAGTGGCAGCTCACATAAACCCAGCAATTAGAGCTCAGACTAAAAATTAGCAGGGATCTCAAAGGATCAGTGGTCCCTAGAGGTAATCACTTCATTTGTAAAATGTTACTATCCAACCAATATCAGCCTTTGTGAGGCAAAAAAGGGACAATATTGTAGCTGTTGCTGAACGTTTAACCTAAGAGCTCTAAACTCTCTGAGTGAAACATTTCCCATCATGCATCTGATGCAGGTGGAGAGTAAGTTCACGGCCTGGCTCCCTTAATTAATCTCAAACAAGCCCAAAGATGCCACCAGTGGATTTCATTAGTTTCTCCTCTTTGATTAAAGGAGTCCAAATCAGTGAAATCAGTTGCTATTGTCTTGTGGTCCTCTATGAAACAGTTGCCTATTCCTAATTATAGGTTCAGTCGGTGTTGATATTTTAAAGGGTAACTAAACCCCTAAATTCTGCTAGATTCCTCCCACCCAGCAAATGTAAAAAAGTGTAGCAAATGATGGCACAGGATAATCATATAGGGGGTGTGGCTTTGTGGCTACTTAGATTGTAGGGTAATACTGACCAGAGTGACAGACACACTACCACTCAGAGAAGCAGGAATACAGCTGCTGGTAATCAGAGATAACCAAGCCATGAGCAGCTACTGTCAGCTTCAAAGACAGTCCGTTGGAGCTTTAACACCAGAAGAACTTCATGGATGTTTGTAAAAGTTTCCGTGTGGTACCTGTGTTGTAATGTTAAGCTAGCAGCTCAGGAGGCTAAATCTCTGATGTGTACGTACGTCTATGGGGGAGTGACAGTACATCTATGTAGCAGGCCACAGTCTGCAGAGTCGAGACATTGCTTTTATAGGAGCAGGGGTTGGTTGCTGACAAAAGCTGCCACCACATTCGTCACCTGTCTCCAGATCAGCAAATAGCAAAATTGAACTGAAATAGCTGGGTTTCAACCAGTAGAGGGAGGTTGCTATGCATATTTATAGCACAATATGTAGAATTCAAATA